AGAAGGAGGGGGATGGTGGGGAATATTTGTATCTTGGGTGGATGATTTTTATGGAGTTTTGTTCTCTGAGCTGAATCGTTTGGTCGTGCTCAGAGAAAAAACTCCATCAAAAGGAAGGGGATCCTAGACACCGGCTGATGAAGACAATCCGACCATATGGCGACTGCAGCTGTCGAAACATTTCGTGCCAATAGACGCCGGATAGGTCACACGATGCAATGATTCAAATGGTTCAAATGGTTGTGGACGGAATAGAAGAAGCTTTCGCCTAACAGGCTTCCGTGTCTAGTAGCAGGGGATCACCAATACCTCCAGGCAGGAACCTAGGTATATTAACGATAAAAGGGAAAAAAATTGGTAAATCATAGTAAGATACTATCCTTAGTCTTTAAGAATAGATCAAGTCGCCTCTTAAAGGACTCCTGGGAAATTGCTTGGGCTAGCTCAGCTGGCAGCGAATTCCAGCACATGACAACTCTTAAGCAGTAAAAGTTGTGCCTACAGTCCGTTCTACTATGTTGTATCTCTAATTTCTGGGTGTTACCTATTAGGTTAGCATTGGGACCAAGTTTAAGTAGGTGTTTAAGAGGATGTCCAGGAGTGTTAAGGATACTGTAAGCCATTAGAAGGTCACCTCTAAGACGCCTATACTCTAATGGGCAAAGATTAAATGATTGGAGGCTCTCATTTTAAGGTTTAAATTTGAGTCCCCGAACTGATTTCGTGGCTCGCCGTTGGGTACGCTCCAGAGTGTTCTTATCCTTTTGAAGTGTAGGAGGGAATACTATGTTTCCGTACTCTAAATGGGGACGGATGAAACTATTGAACATTATGTGGAAAGTTCTCCCGTCAAACTGACCAAAAATCCGTTGTCGTCTGACCAACTTTGAAGTCGAGTCAGATCCTCCTGAAGTGCCTGTATATTCTCTTGGTTGCGTAACTCTCTCCGAAGTTTCACGTCATCGGCAAAGAGCAATAAGTCTGACGTTAGCTGTTGAGGAAGATCATTTATATAAATCAAGAAGAGAAGAGATCCTAGCACTGAGCCCTGGGGAACCCCACTAAGACATTCCATAGCCTGTGAGAAATTGAAGTTTACCCTGACCTTAAAATGTCGATTTGTCAGATATGAACTGAGCCAGTCAATTAAAGATGGTTTGTCTGAGCTTGTTGATAAGACATGTGTGATTAACACTATCAAAGGCTTTAGATAAGTTATGGTAAATGATATCCACCTTCCCCTTGAGATCAACGATGCTTGTCAATCTGTCCACCGCAGTTAGCAGGTTCGTCATACAGGAGTAATCCTTCCTGAAACCATGTTGCTGGGGTGAGAAGAAATTTAAGGACAGCAGATAGTCATGTATACCATCGTATATCAGGGACTCCATGGTTTTTGAAGGTATAGAGAGAAGAGCCACTGGTCGGTAACTTGAAAGTTCGCTACGTCTATCTCCTTTGAAGATTGGTGTGATATGAGCCACACTCGACTTAGCGAGTGTGAGAACGTCACGCTAAGCGGTGTTGCCAGGATTGAAGCTGCTTCCCTCAGTGTAGCAGAGTGGACCATATCTGGAACAGGAGAAGTATCTGTTCGTAGGTGCTGCAGTTTTCGGGGCACGAAGTCAGCGCTCAGGTTCAATACGGAAAGTCCTGTGCAGTTGCAGATGGAGTTGATGTGGGTCGGTTGAAATGTCCGGGAGTATTGCTCAGCCAGAAAGTTAGCGGCGTCACCGTCATTATCTGTCGGGCCATTAGGACCTAGCAGTTGAGAAACTCCAGTTTTGGCTTGACGAAGAGAGGCTGCGTAACAGAATAAGCTTTTCGGATTGGAAATAAATTTATCCATAAGCTTTAACTGGTACTGAAGCCTGTCTTCTCTTATAGCCTTCGTGCATATGTTCCTTATATGTTTGTATTGCCTGTACTCGCCGTTGTTGTTGGTTCGTTTGTATTCTGCCCAACAGTGCCTTTTACGGCCTAACAAACGAAGAGTGCGGTTTTTGATGATTGTAGGTTGCATGTGGCTTTTGGGGACAGTTTGAGATACTGACTGCTTTGTAGAACATAAGAGCGTGTGCAGTAAGAAGTTCCAGTGAGCATTCACATCGATTTGAGGGTAAACATCCCAATCCACCTGTTGTAGATATTCCTGTAGAGCTGACACATTCAACCGTTTAAAATTCCAGCGCCTCTTGTTGTTGGGGTATCTTAGCTCAATTTCGCTGACAAAACTGAAGGCTTGCTTTTCCCAAGGGGAGCCAGAATTGAGAGGTTGTCAACTAGGAATTCTTCATTTGTAAAAACACAGTTTAAACGCGACGGTGTCTGACTGTTCCTTCAACGAGTAGCCAACTTCACATTTCCGTGTAATCTCAAATCCTCAATGAGGTTGAAGAACCGAGCTTCAATTGAATTTTCACCTCCAATATACGTATGTTCCGCGAAATTGACTATAGGAAGATTGAAGTCCCCTAAAATCAGGATATGAGTGAAGCCAAGACGCGTGGAGCGGGATAGTCCTTCCAGCATGCGACTGTCATACTCGATATCGGCAGTGGGCTTCCTATATAGGACTCTGACTAGGCACCTCGAAGTAGTGGACAGTCTCACAGAGCACCATATAGATTCCTCAAGATTGTCAAACTCATGGTTGTGAACTTGGTGTACCTCCAAGCCAGATCGCATGTATAGGGCTACTCCACCCCCAATTCCTGTTTTTCTAGCTAGCTCCTGGTCCGAAAACTGAGAAGATATCCAAGTTTCAGATATTCCTATCAGATGAATCTTATTAGCGTTGCTAAGTTCACTTAGTTCATCCATTTTATTTGGTAGACTCGCGGCGTTCATGTATAAGCAGTTAATGCTTTCAATTTGAAATGCGTGAGCTTCTTCCTGTTTGTCTGTGAGAGCCCCACGTGAGTGGACAGGTAACCCACCTATATAAGTTTTGTCGAATTGGTAGGCCTTGTCTTTTACACGTTTTTTTATCTTCAAGGCAGTCCACAAGTGGAATGGTCAGCTCAAGCTTGCCTTTGTACTTGATCCTGGCATCATATGGCCTGTCCGGATGCATGTGCATCCCAGTTGGCAACCGACGTCTGTTGGCACGAAATGCTTCCAGAGTTCCAGCCGCCATATGGGAGGATTGAAAAGTTATTCTCATTAGTCAGGGTCTAGGATCACCGTCCTTCTTGGCTAGTCTCGTCACATTCTGAGTCAGTATGTTTCTGAGCCTCAAGGATTGTTTGATGAATTTCCGTTCCCGAATGTCAGAGTTTGCTTGACTAGGATCCATGTTTTCCGGTACACCTTGCACGATGATATTTCTTCCGCCGAAAAACTTCGTTCGAGAATCTTTAGGGACGTTCCGGATCAAATTGCGCTATGAATACAGAATGTCGGGCAGTATTATGACGTTCTAATCGGATTTCAGTAGATAACTAGCTAGCAGGACATCCTTTACTTCGGTAGCATTCTTGAATGTTACACGAAGTAGTCTCGGGTGATTTTGATGTTTAAATTCCTTTCCCCGAGTGAGCCATGTGACCGTCAAAGGCTCTATTCTAGGAAGTTCGAGCTTTTCGTTCAATCCACCCCAGAACATCCTGTCGTTTTTGTCCTGCAAACTGAGAGGAAGGTCAGGGTTCTCTTTGAGGTTCATGATTATGAGAGAGTCATCAAGGACCGTTATTGTTTTCTCAGGTTTTCCGGTGAGTTCAGGTTCAGTAAGTTGTTGTTTGGAGGTCGAAGCAGGTTTCTGAGTCTTAGGCTTTTTGATGATCGGGCGGACGTTTTTGGGGGTAGACTGAGCGATCAAATCACCAGTTGATGTACGTACAACACTTGGGATGTTTAGCTTAGACGGTGACACCTGGTCCTTTTTAGCTCTGTTAGCGTGGGCGGACTCACCTGCAGGGTTTTTGGGAACCACTGTTGCGTTTAAGGACCCTGTGCTGGAAAATCCGAGTTTAGTGAGGGAGTCTATTACCGTCGACGAAGTGATTGTGCTGAGCTTCAACATGTCATCATTAGAGCTGGTGCGTGCTCCATCGATGGTAGACCTATCAACCTCCCTATTCTTGTTTTCGTTACGTGCCCATGTTTGTCTACCTATTTTATGGCTATCTTTTTCCAAGTTTGCTGACAATTTATTCCGCAGACGTGTCAAAAGAACAATGATGTTGCTCAGCAATACTACAGCATCCGTGCTGCACGTAACACATACCCACTTATGATCCGATTTGCTGAGTCTATTGTAAGCAGTTGCCGTGAGATCTGTGCAAGCTTCATGGAACCAACCTTTGCAGTTGTCGCACTGCATGTCCGATGTAACAGCAAAACGACATCCGGGTCGTTTGCATGAATTTTTCATGGCTGTATTGACGTAAACTGTGTTAAAGATAGTGTCGAAAGCTTAAGGCCGTTAAAAATACACTAAAAACTGGAAAAATGTATAAAACGGATGAGATAAAATGAACCAGCCCATACGTGAAAAACTGAAAAAAAAACCGAATAGTAAGATGAGGCAAGACCACAGTTAACTATTAAATTGGGCGAAACCAGAAAAAGTAGTAATCTACCGAAATCACAATAGATTCTTTAGATCAGAAATGGTACTTTTGTTGCGTAAGAACACAGCAAAAGTTTGAGAAATGCAAACCACGTTAGAACTAAACTTGAAGCATGAAAGCGAATTGGAGTTGGAAAGAAAGGGGCCAACAACTCAGAACGCCCTGTATGGGTAGGATACCTGTTCATTTGTAGAATTATAGCCTACTTCGCTCTTAGTACTGTTATAATAATAGACCCAATCCCAAAATTGTTGATTTGTCATGAAGTGGCTACCTAATCTATAAGATGTTACGTGGTAGACCCATCATTGTCTATTCGTTAGACCGAGCTTCTAGCTTACTATTTATCTGGAATTATATCAACCTCTGAAATTTCAACTTTGCACGTTTGTTCTACTCGTCTAACCTAGTGTGGTATTTTTGAAAATGGTTGAAATCACGCCTTTAGAGTCCAAAATAATTAGACAAGTTGAGGTAGTTCAAGCCAATTCGTTCTTCTTGACTTACTTTAGTATTACTTTGGGGATGTAAATCTGTCACGTGACAAGTTCATGAAAGAGGCTGTTAAAGAGAATGACGGATGTAAGATTTATATTTGAGTAAAGTCATAATTTCTTGCTTCTAGGGATTCCTATGGAGACAATGATTAAATTTAACCGTCTAAAGTCTTTGTCAGAGGATGTTGAGTTCATAAAGAAGTCAGTATCCAAGTCACAATCCGGGTTGATTGAAGTAGGCGAAAAAGGTCTTCGAAGAAATCCTGAGATGAAAGTTCCTGAAACACTTGAAACAGCTCTTGACAGCTATAAAGAAAATGGTGTCTATGTTAAAGGCTTCTCTCCTGACGAAAAATTGGACGAAATTATTGAATGGCTTGAAAAACATGGTGGGAAAACCCTTGATGTGCATATGCGCAGATTTCCACGAGACAAAAAGTTTAGGGTATTCTCATTTCCTGCGTTAATATTCATGTTACAGGGAAGCATATTTGCTATTTTTGAGAAGAAGGAGGATTCCGAAAAGTTTTTGGCTTCACAAGAGGCCGCTACTTTCAAAGAAAAAGCTATGGTCCGTTCAACCCAGTAAGTTCAAATATTTGGGGAATACATGAAGTAGTTTTACTAGATTTCTTTTACATAAATGACTGTCCACTATCAGGCAAAAGAGCTTTCTTATATCGTCCTGCCAGATACGATATGTATTATTTCTCATAGCCATGCTAAACCTTTGAGTTATCTAAAGTTTAGTCCAGGTAGCAGTATCTCTGAGCATTAATTAATGGTTGATATCAAAGTAACAAACATTTGATGACATTAAGAGTGTATTAAATGGTAGGACCTGTCACATCTCTATGAATCATAATCATTTTTCTAATAAAGCCCAATGTTCACCATTAGCAACCTTAACTGATGGGTAATTGTGCAGGCTTGATTTCAGTGTCTTCAGTCTTCAGCAATAAAGATAGTAAGTTGGTGAACCTGTGTTAATCCTAACAGATTGCCTTCCAGTGAAGGTCCAGTTTCTCCATGAAAATATTCACTGATGGGGCTGATACCACTTGCTAGGGCAAGGCGTTCCAATCATTGACTACTCGATGAGAAAAACTGAATCACACTTTAAGTTTATTAGATCGCGATTTATAAACCTTCTTGCTATGATCTCGGAGATTATTAGTGCTGAAGGGAGCAAAAAGATAAGACATATTAACACCCAAATCATGATTAAAGATACGAAATGCCAGTATAAGGTCACCTCGAATCCTACGATACGACAAGGGGAAAAGGTTTAGGCGTTTTAGACGCTCATCGTAAGGGAGTTTAGAAAGACCCTTCACTAATTTCGTTCCCACACGCTGGACAAGCTCAAGTGAGTCAGTATCCTTGACCAGACATGGGCTAGCTGCTTGAATACAGTACTCTAAATGTGGTGTCAGATAGGTGGGATATAAAATTCGAAACATTTCCTCGTCAAAGCATTTGAACGCTCAGCGAAGTGACCACAACGCACGAAAACCTTTGACAGCGGCTGCGTTTTAATGGGTAGTTGTTTTCAAATCATGACTTAATTATTACTCCTAAGTCTTTATGTTCTTGAACGCATGGATGATGTTTACCATCAATAGTATAATGGTAACTATTGCCTTGAGCGATGTGCATTAGTACACTCTTCCTAGAATTGATTTCTAAGTCAGCTTGAGGATCCAGATGATCAGCCTCACTTCTTATTGTTCTCCAGATTTTGACATCATCCGCAAATAATAATGTCGACGACCTAAGCAACAGCGGTAACTCATTTACGTAGAGAAGGAAGAGCAGAGTGCCTAAGATGATGCCTTGGGGTACACCACTTTTGACCGTTTTCCAATCGGACAGCGTCCCATTGACCCTCACTCTCTGTCTACGGTCACATAAAAGTTCCCTATCCACTCCTGTACAGTACTTATTATTCCGAAGCTCGTGAGCTTCTGCATAAAACCTAAGCCCCCAAATGCCCTGGTATGGCCGAGAGCGGGGAGGGTTCGCCCTCCCTCTCGAAATACTCTCACACGGCCACGCGTACACAGCCTCTGCCAGGGAAGTCCTACTCACTGCCTTCTCGCACCACGAGTGTTGTTTACGAAAATGAGAGGACGAAAAGCGAACGTCCGGCGCTATAACCGGATCCCAATTCTATGGTGCACATGGGCTCCAGTATCCTGAAGGAACAAATGGCGTATGAACCAACTTTTGGTCACCGGCTTCCATGGGACTGCATCTCCTCACGATGCTCCACTGCCTTGTGGACTAGACCTTTAGGTCAAAGGCTCGGGGTGTGGTCCCCTAAGAAGACCACCTGCTTCGGTTTGGGCACCCGGGCAGTATCTCAGCCCACACACTAAAACCATGATGAACTATCTGCTTATGGAAAATATTCGTTTCTCTCCGACTAACATTGAAATGACTGGTACTATTATTATTATTATTATTATTATTATTATTATTATTATTATTATTATTATTATTATTATTTACTACGTCATTTATTCACTATCTCCTATTTCTACTTTTTGTATCCGTTTCGACTCAGACAGCAGCTCGCCTATGGTAAAAATTCAGCTTTATCTAAACGTTCTCGAGTCACTGCCTGGTTGAAAATTGTATGTTGCCACCGAATACGAGTACTGAAGCAGTTTTTCTGAAACCACGTGCACCATTCAAACTGGCTGCCTTCAACGTTCGCACACTTATGCAGGTCGGACAACAGATAGGGCTGGCTATGTCTTTGGAAAGTCTTAATATTGATGTGTGTTGTCTATCCGAGACCCGTATTCAAGACTCTGGTGAAGTACTACAAGTTCGCTCTCCATCTGTCGCTTCAAAAAGCTTGTTTTATGTGCGTTTATCCGGGGACCCTGTGGCATCTTCGTCTGGTCTTGCTGGCGTTGGTGTCGCACTAAGCGCAAGAGCTGAGGCAGCACTAGTCGACTGGATCCCCATTAACAGTCGGTTATGTGCTGTTAGATTAGAAAGTTCCATCAAAGTGAAAAGAAATAGGCGTGAGAAACGATATCTTTTCGTCATCTCCGCCTATGCCCCCAAATGCCCTGGTACGGCCGAGAGTGGAGAGAGTCCGCTCTCCCTCTCGAAATACTCTCACATGGCCATGCGTATATAGCCTCTGCCAGGGAAGTCCTACTCACTGCCTTCTCGTGGCGGGGGTGTTGTTTACGAAAATGAGAGGACGAAAAGCGAATGTCTGGCGCTTTAACCGGACCCCAAACCAAAGCAATGGTGCACATGGGTTGGCTCCAGTATCCTGCCTGAAGGAACAAATGGCGTATGAACCAATCGTTGGTCACCGGCTACCATGGGACTGCATCTCCTCACGATGCTCCACTGCCTTGTGGATCAGATCTTCAGGTCGAAGGCTCGGGGTGTGGCCCCCTAAGAAAACCACCTGCTTCGGTTTGGGCACCCGAGCAGTATCACAGCCCTCACACAAATCAATTGAGATTTGTGTGACGCATATGTATTTGGTGCCTCCCTGTACCTATACTTATGTGTTAAAATAAAATAAAATAAAAACATCTCCGCCTATGCCCTGACAGATTGCAGCCCGGATGCAATCAAGGACGAGTTCTACCACCAGCTAACTGTTCTTCTCCAGAAAGTGCGTTCGACAGATATTGTAGTACTAGCTGGAGACTTGAATGCTCAGGTCGGGCGTCTAGGCACAGAAGAGAGTCGTTTAGGTGGCCGATGGGGACTCGTTGGTCGCAGGACAGTTAACGAGGACCGTCTATTGCAACTACGCACAGACCACAACCTGTTTCTGGCTAGCACTAACTTTCGGCACAGTCATCGCCGATGTGCCACCTGGCGTCCCCCTTCTGCATCAAGCCTGGACTCAGATTGATCACATCGCGATCAGCTACCGCTGGCGTGGTTGTGTACAAGACTGCCGCTCCTTTTGGAGTACCTATCTGGAATCTGATCATGCTCTGGTCTGCGCCAATCTTACCTTACTTTTCAGTGGACAACGAAGTGACCGCCACCACAGGATTGATGTTAGCAAACTGGCTGCAACTTCTGTTGCTAGTATGTACCGAACCGAGCTAGCTTCTAGGCTAGCTACCACTCCACCGAAAAGTATAGATGAGCATTGGTTGCAATTGCATGACGCCATGAAAATGGCGGGTACAGTCTGTTGTGGGTTCGCGAAACGTCCCGCTTACAAGAACTGGGTTTCTTCTGGTTCCTTACAACTGATTGAAGCCCGTCGGTCTACTCCGGGTGACCATGAGTTTGACCACAGACGAGGGATGTTACGTAATGAAATCGGGCAAAGCTTGCGTAAGGACCGAAAAGCCTGGTGGTCGGAGCGTGCCAGTGAGTTGGAAGCAGCAGCTGCATCTGGTAATTACCGGAAGCTCTTCCAACTCATCCGAGCCACTGGCAGCAAGAAGTCTGGTGTGAGCGAAACAATCTGCGAGGATGACGGAACGCCAATCACTAACATCCATCGACGTCTTGGACGATGGGCAGAATTCTTTGAAGGGCAGTTCAACTGGCCTGCTGCTCCGGCAACATCGGTCAGACTGTCCTGCCCTCCATGGCCGGTGACGACTGATCCACCAAATGAGGCGGAAGTCCGCAAAGAACTTCAACTCTTGAAACGTTACAAATCACCGGGCCCAGACGACTTACCTCCGGCTCTTTTTAAAGATGGTGGTGACTTTCTGACTAAGGGACTGACGACGTTGTTTACAAAGATCTGGGAACTAGAGAGTGTACCAACGTCATGGAATGAGTCAATAGTTGTCCCTATCTTTAAAAAGGGTTCACGTTGTTCCTGTAACAACTATCGGGGGATAAATCTACTTCCGATTGCGTCCAAGCTATTGGCTTCCGTCATACTTCGTAGGTTGTTCAGAACCCGAGAAGGATTGACTCGCGAGGAGCAGGCTGGGTTTCGTTCTGGTCGAGGATGTATTAATCATATCTTCACCCTCCGCCAAATGTTAGAACACCGCCATACTTATCAAAGGCCAACAATCGTAGTGTTTCTTGATATCAGGGCTGCCTTCGATTCGTTGGACAGAACTGTTCTCTGGGATTGTCTATTGAAGAAGGGTGTGCCTGAGAAGTTTATTAACATCCTAAAAGCCCTATACACAAACACCTCAGACAGAGTGAGGGCATACAACCACCTCTCTCCATTGTTCCATTCGAGCAGTGGGGTTAGGCAGGGTTGCCCAATCTCACCATTCCTCTTCAACTTTGCCATCGATGACATTCTGGAAACAGCTCTGACGGATGTAAGTAATGGTGGTGTGGATCTGTTGCCTGGAGAAAGACTTCTCGACCTTGAGTATGCGGATGATATTGTCTTACTGTGCGAGAATGTCCAAGACATGCAATCCGCACTTAATCAGTTGGCAATCAATGTCCGTAGGTATGGTATGTGCTTTGCACCTTCGAAGTGCAAAGTACTTCTACAAGACTGGCAGGATTCTAATCCTGTACTCACTCTGGATGGTGAGCAGATAGAGGTAGTCGAGAAGTTCGTGTATCTAGGTAGCTGCATAAGTGCTGGTGGTGGCGTGAGTGATGAGATCAATGCACGTATAGTGAGTGCCAGAGCGGCTTATGCCAATCTGGGCCATCTTTGGCGCCTTCGTGATGTCAGTCTGGCTGTAAAAGGTCGGATCTACAACGCGACGGTGAGAGCAGTTTTGCTCTATTCTTGTGAAACCTGGGCTCTCCGAGCTGAGGATGTTAGACGACTCTTTGTGTTCGATCATCGTTGTCTCCGAAGGATTGCTGGCATCCAGTGGCAACACCATGTCAGTAATGCACAGGTTCGGTATCGTGTGTTCGGGCACAGACGATCATGCAATTGGTGTCACCATGTTGAAACATCGACTTCGGTGGCTTGGACATGTTCTACGAATGTCGTCCCAGAGAATTCCACGTCGTGCATTATTTGCCGACTCTGGGACTGTTTGGAAACAGCGGAGAGGTGGTCAGTATATGACATGGTGTCGTGGTATTAAAGAAAGCTGCAAAGGACTGGCATGTGTTGGTCCTTCGCGACCCATTGGCTGGGGTCAGAGTGATGGTGTAACGCAGTGGCTAGAGACGTTATCAGATATGGCTCAGAATAGAAGCCAGTAGCGATCCTGTTGTAACCTTCGTTTACTTTCTTCGTACATAGCGGTTGTATCTTCCTTAACTGTAAGATTTCTTCTGATTGTACCTTTTCGTTTCCCCCACCATTGTTCTCTCTCTCTCTCTTTTTTTTATAATTCCCCACGTTCATTACTTTTTTTTGTCTCTTTTCTCCTCTTCAAATTATCATTGTTTTGTGTGGCGCATATATATTTGGTGCCCCCTGTACCAATATTTATGTGTTCAAATAAATAAATAAATAAATAAAACCTAAGTGTTAAACCTTGTCAAATGCTTTGCTAAAATCTATGAATATCACGTCGACAGACAGACCTTTATCTAAGGCTGCTGTCCAATCCTCTCTCGCAATAAGTAAGTCAAGCATGAACGCTTGTCACAAAATCTATGTTGCTCAGGAGCTAACAGATTGTGTGAATCTATGTGGCTTAGCAACCTAACCCGAATGATCTTTTCAAGTAACTTATTTATTTATTATTTATTTGAACACATAAATATTGGTACAGGGGGGGGCACCAAATATATATGCGCCACACAAAACAATGATAATTTGAAGAGAAGGAGAAAAGAGAAGAGAAAAAAAAAGTAATCAAAACGTGGGGAATTATAAAAAAAAGGGAGAGAGACAGAACAATGGTGGGGGAAACGGAAAGGTACAGTCAGAAGAGATCTTTCAGTAAGGAAGATACAACCACTTTTTATGAAGAAAGTAAAAGAAAGTTACTGCAGGATCGCCACTGGCTTCTATTCTGAGCCATATCTGATAACGTCTCTAGCCACTGCGTTACACCATCACTCTGACCCCAGCCAATGGGTCGCGAAGGACCAACACATGCCAGTCCTTTGCAGCTTTCTTTAATACCACGACACCATGTCATATACTGACCACCTCTCCGCTGTTTCCAAACAGTCCCAGAGTCGGCAAATAATGCACGACGTGGAATTCTCTGGGACGACATTCGTAGAACATGTCCAAGCCACCGAAGTCGGTGTTGCAAGATGGTGACACCAATTTCATTATCGTCTCTGTGACCGAACACTCGATGCCGAACCTCTGCTTTACTGACATGGTGTTGCCACTGGATGCCAGCAATCCTTCGGAGACAACGATGATCGAACACAGAGAGTCGTCTTGGTTGGTACCAGTCATTTCAATGTTAGTCGGAGAGAAACGAATATTTTCCATAAGCAGATAGTTCATCATGGTTTTAGTGTGTGGGCTGAGATACTGCCCGGGTGCCCAAACCGAAGCAGGTGGTCTTCTTAGGGGGCCACACCCCGAGCCTTTGACCTAAAGGTCTAGTCCACAAGGCAGTGGAGCATCGTGAGGAGATGCAGTCCCATGGAAGCCGGTGACCAAAAGTTGGTTCATACGCCATTTGTTCCTTCAGGATACTGGAGCCCATGTGCACCATAGAATTGGGATCCGGTTATAGCGCCGGACGTTCGCTTTTCGTCCTCTCATTTTCGTAAACAACACTCGTGGTGCGAGAAGGCAGTGAGTAGGACTTCCCTGGCAGAGGCTGTGTACGCGTGGCCGTGTGAGAGTATTTCGAGAGGGAGGGCGAACCCTCCCCGCTCTCGGCCATACCAGGGCATTTGGGGGCTTTCAAGTAACTTAACGACAATGCTAGTCAGACTGACAGGCCGGTAGTTAGAGACGATCTGTCTCTGACCCTCCTTAAATATAGGATTGACAAAAGCATCTTTCCAATCCCTAGGAAGTTGAGCGAGTGGAAGGGACATGTTGAAGAGTGTCGTGAGCGGTTTTGAAATAATTTTCGCAAGAGATGACAGTGTCTGCCAGTGCATCAAAAAGCAGAGACAATATGTTCTATTTAAGATCAGATCTCAGCTTTTTTCCATTTGACTTTCTATCGACGGATAAAAGAGTAAACTACCGTCTTGGATTTGCACATTACACTTTAATCTATTTAATGAAATTTCAGTGGTCTCTTTCACACCTATGTCATGGGTTAGAATTCCATGATACTGTTTGACCGTTCAAATGTCAACTTCCGAAGAAGCGTACACAGCTGACTAAAGAACTAAAGCTGTTTCTAATGTCAACTAAGCAGTCGAAAATGTTTGGTATTCAATTTCATGCTACCTTATTGTGCTTGTTATCATCAGTAGCCACCTGGCAAAACTTAAACCACGGGTAGTCACAATTAAGTAATCAAGACAGTTGCAGTTTATCTGGTATCGCATAAGTAGTGTAGTTCACAGATGATGAATTAACATCCAATAAAACTAGTTGAAATTACAATTAACTATCGAATAGTGGAATAATAGAAACAAAAGTAAACAGACCTAAGTAACTTGTAATTTGGTCAGCAATCTGCATAATCCGGTTGAGACAACTGGATTGTATCGCTAGTTCTTACATTTAGAGTGTAGCTCAAAGTGTGATACATGGTTATACTTATTAAATTAGTTGCATTGTCTTAGTAATTCAACCTGTGTAATGAACTCGTTTTTCATTGAAATATGCGGAAGACTGATGGTTGGTACCCATGCAATGTTCAGAATCCATTATAAATCCCGAAAGTATTTCCCACAAACTTCAATATGTGTGCAAATTTTGGGTGATTGTAATGCCTTATCTGAATCTGTAGTCGCTCGATGCATTCAGTTTATCTAGTTGGTATAGTCAAAATAAGTTCACTTATCGATTAATTTCCAACCTGCAAACCTTAGGTCGCACAGCATTTTATGAAAGTAAATACTGTCAAACACTTTTGGTAGTATGTTAATACTTAAAATTCAATTTTAGAGTGGATTATTGGAAACGCAAAGAAGAAGAAAACAAGGCTAAAGCTGCTTCACAAGCCAAAAAGAAAGCTGCACTTGAAGCTAACCAGGAGGCTCAACTTAATTCTCGAATGATTTGTGGAGCATTACTTGAAATTGTTGGTCTCCCAGAAGCCACAAAAAGTAATTATCTGTTTGTCCAACTTTATCAAAACAACATAACATCAGTAAATGTTCCATATTTATATAACCGATTGTATTTCTTAAATGTTTGTAAAAACTATAAAATTGACAGTGTCGGACTAGATTTTGGAATCTTAAGTTCTTGGAGAGGGATAAAGAAGTAAAATATTTCCGCCATTTCGGAAAAGTATTGAATTTTCGTAAATTTCTTAGTATCTGGTTGTTCAATTTAATGTTAATGGCTCATCTTAAAGAATTCGTTGTACCTGAATGCGAATCTAGTTAGGATTGGTCGCAAAAATATCAGAATCCAGGTATCGTTGCTACTGGTCAAAATGAATATACTTGGTAAACAGAAATAAGTAACTATTTCAGAAGTTTAAAACTATCTCAAAGAATACGACTGGTGTACAAAAATTTTATGCAAGGGCGGTTGAGCTTGCATAATATGCACACAAACGTCTGGTTGACGAAATAAGTGGAGTACAATTCAAATCATCACTCGGGTTCTCAGGGAATACTTGACTGTTATTTAGTGTACACAGTACATAGTGTGTCGGTTATGTCTGTTGGTCGTTTAAATCTTCCCACTGATGTTTAGGACTGCTATTGATCAGTCTCTTTTATATATGTGCCTCCTGTTCGGATTGCCTTGATACTTTCACTAAATTTTTAAGCAGAGATATATAGTGGTTGGTATTGGAATCCGGAATGTGAGTTTCGTCGTGTTTGGGAACTTTTTTTGTCTGCTGTGGTTTGAGGAGTTGGATATCATTAGCTAACACTGGAGATGTTTCAACGCTGAATCCATAAACCTGTATTCGATATATGGGTTACATGAGAGTACAGAGGTCTGGAAAAGTATGTGACAGCGTTGATTTAATTTGTGCCACGAAATACAGGCTTCAGTGATTTAAATATATGTTACAGATATAGTCCAAACATTCAGTCAGTCAGTCAGCTGCAACGTAGGACCAGGCACGTAAATGCGTCGGTCCAAGTTGCCATACGCATTCTCCACATTGTGTATTATTTGACTGGGTGGAATAGCTAAATAGTTGTTAGTATATGATAGCGTCGTAACTCTAATTTTACAATGGATTGTCGGTGCCCTATCATAGAAAGGTGTTTTTTTTTTGTAGAGTCCTACTCAACACAAGTATAAATAGAAGTGTTCAGCTTGGTTAGTTACTGATATCACTTCTATGATAGGAAAAAATAAAGTCATTTGGGTTGTTAGTTTTTCCGGTAATATTTCAATGAAACTAATTAACATTCTGAATAGAATATTCATATTTTCTGTGTTCTGTTTTTCTATAATCACACAACTCTTCACTTCCTAGAAAATGATGCAGTTGAAGGGGAAGACACTACAACTGAAGAATCAAAAGAGTCGTCAGTAAATGGTAGTAAAGACTCAGAAGCACCAACAGTTATGAACTTGAAACAGTGGTTAAACGAAAAGGTAAGGTAATATAACAAACATATTGTTATGTAGTGAAAATTCGTTATTTTGTTTGCTTAATAAAAGATTGCTGTTACGAAATTAAATCAAGTTCCCTGAATTTTTTTTTTCGAAGGGAACTTAGGATATACAAATGATACTGTTTATTATACTTTATTTGATTCATATTTATTTATCTCTTTTGTGGATCTTTTTACAGCTTGATTCAAGTACTCCTGTGGGATGGATTGATATTGAACCATCTGAGGGAAAAGCTGTAATACGATTCAAACAACCTAATACAGCAGAAAAAGCATGGACTAAATTAAAAGAAGCATTTGGCGATAGTCCTGTTACTTATTTAAACAGTGAATTATCAGGTCGCGTAATTACTGGTAATTATCCATAAAATTAATGCCTTTATCTATACTGTAAACTGCATATTTTGCTCATAAGTAGTTAACTTATGCAATGGAGTGAATATGTCTTGCTACTAATGAGCACCTGAAATTTGCTAGATATTACATCATATGAAATCATTTTATATACATTTCCCATGTCATTTGATTTGCGTTATTAACCTACTGATGTTTACTAACATCCTAAAAGCCCTATATACAAACACCTCAGGCAGAGTGAGGGCATACAACCACCTCTCTCCATTGTTCCATTCAAGCAATGGAGTTAGGCAGGGTTGCCCAATCTCACCATTCCTCTTCAACTTTGCCATCGATGACATTGTGGTGGTCGGTGTTCGATATATTCCTTAAACTCCGTATACAGTTCGTCTCGGTAACCGTCACCAAATAATGCTCCAACGGTATATTAATCAGAAGGCGAATACGAAGCGTTAATTACGTTTATTAAGGGACCACACACAGATATCCAAAATTACAGATGCATTAAGCAAGCATGAAATAGTTGTGCCGAAAGGCAAACAGGCAAGCGAGCGAGCGAGCGACCGAGCGAGTGAATGAACGAGCGAGCGAGTAATGAATATGAATAACATGGACATATATATACATAGTGAAATGAATGAATCATCGAGTCAATTAAGCGGTTAATAGTAAAGCTAGTAGCGTGAATAAATGCGTAGGCAGTAAGGCTTGACGAGCATACATATTCATACAAGGATAACAATAATAAAGGTACATACATTCGCAACAGTAATAAGGATACAATAAGTTATTATAGTGCAGGTGACTTTGTCCGTTTAATAAGTTAATAAAAAGGGCTTAACCGAATTAGGTGAGAGCAAACTCAATTGAACGTGAGTTGCTATAACATTCTGTAAACAGCTCTGACGGATGTAAGTAATGGTGGTGTGGATCTGTTGCCTGGAGAAAGACTTCTCGACCTTGAGTATGCGGATGATATTGTCTTACTGTGCGAGAATGCCCAAGCCATGCAATCCGCACTTAATCAGTTGGCAATCAGTGTCCGTAGGTATGGTATGTGCTTTGCACCTTCAAAGTGCAAAGTACTTATACAAGACTGGCAGGATTCTAATCATGTACTCACTCTGGATGGTGAGCAGATTGAAGTAGTCGAGAAGTTCGTGTATCTAGGTAGCTGCATAAATGCTGGTGGTGGTGTTTATTTATTTTTATTTATTTTAACACATAAGTGGTGGTGTGAGTGATGAGATCAATGCACGTATAGTGAAAGCCAGAGCGGCTTATGCCAATCTGGGCCATCTTTGGCGCCTTCGTGATGTCAGTCTGGCTGTAAAAGGTCGGATCTACAACGCGACGGTGAGAGCAGTTTTGCTCTATGCTTGTGAAACCTGGCCTCTCCGAGTTGCGGATGTTAGACGACTCTCTGTGTTCGATCGTCGTTGTCTCCGAAGGATTGCTGGCATCCAGTGGCAACACCATGTCAGTAATGCAGAGGTTCGGTATCGTGTGTTCGGTCACAAAGACGATCATGCAATTGGTGTCACCATCTTGAAACACCGACTTCGGTGGCTTGGACATGTTCTACGAATGTCGTTCCAGAGAATTCCACGTCGTGCACTATTTGCCGACTCTGGGACTGTTTGGAAACAGCGGAGAGGTGGTCAGTATATGACATGGTGTCGTGATATGAAAGAAAGCTGCAAAGGACTGGCTTTTGTTGGTCCTTCACGACTCCCTGGTTGGGGTCAGAGTGATGGTGTAACGCAGTGGCTAGAGGCGTTATCAGATATGGCTCAGGATAGAAGCCAGTGGCGATCCTGCTGTAACCTTCTTTTACTTTCTTCATAAAAAGTGGTTGTATCTTCCTTAACTGAAAGATTTCTTCTGATTGTACCTTTTCGTTTCCCCCATTATTAGTACTACTACACTATCTTACACTAATCTGGTCGTTATTGTTCTCTTTTTTTTATGATTCCCGACGTTCCTTACCTTTTATTTCCCTCCTCGTTAAATTCCTATTGTTTTGTTTGGCGCATATGTATTTGGTGCCCCCTGTACCAATATTTATGTGTTCAAATAAATAAATAAAAACTGATGTTCGTCAAATTATAAATTCAGGAACAATTTGTGTGGATTTCAATAGTTACCATATTACGTGGATGATCTTTTGCACGAGATTGTATAAATAAAATGACTCATAAACTCATACTAACGATTATATTGAAGATGTGATGAGTCAGTTGTTACTGACTGACTGTGATCAACTCGAATGGAGCACATTAAAATTTCATCTAGCTATTGTTTACCATCTAAAAACGACAAGTTATAGTACAGAGTAAGTTCAAATAAACTGGCAAATATAATTTCGTAGCACAGTAAATTAGTTTTGTAAACTATCTAGTTTACTTCACTATGTTGAAAACTTTTTAATAGATTGTTTTTGTTTTGGAAGGTGACGAAGAGAAGAATCAGTGGAAAGTGATTCTGGCAGCTCAGCAACAAAAAGCTCAGAAACGACGTGGAGGACGTAGTGTAAGTTAAATTCATTGGCTTTTATTATTTGTTATTTAAACACAAATTATTGAATTTGTGTGGGCTGAGATACAACCCGTGTGTCTAAAACATAGCTGGTGATTTTCTTCGTAGACCACTTCCCGAACCTTTGACCTAAAGGTCTTATTCATAAAGCAGTGGAATAACTTGGTGAGATGCGGTCCCATGATAGCTAGTGACCAATTATATGTTCATACACCGTTTCTTCCCTTAGGATCTGTTATAACGCTCCATCGCCAATTGTTATAACGCTCGGTATTACTTCGTCTAATGTGATAACGCTCAAACGATTATCTACATTAGATCCCTCCCAGTGTCTATTCTACAGGACTTCAACACAACTCAGATGATCAAGAACACGTAATTAGCCTGATCACAACGTGAATATATTTCCACACCCAAAACTGACACAATCCACAATCATGAAAAATCAATAATAAATGTATATATGTGTCACAATAATAAGGATAAGGGAATATATAACTTATCTGACACCTGTCAGACTGTCTACATGTCTGACTAAGCAGACAACCAATCATGATCGTTCTTGTCCACACATCAAGATCCTTAAGCTTTGGTTTGGAATCAGGGTTTCTCAACTCCCCTAATAAGTAGATGCTTTGTACCCATCAACCCGGTTCAAACCCCAGATATTTCCTGTTCATAGTTTTGACAAAGTGTAAATAAATTTTATCAATGATAATAGTCTATATATGGATAACTATTGAATCTCATAATATTTGTTGAAAGATTTAACCATTTTTGTTTGCTAAATCTCTTATAATAAATACTCGAGAAAATGATACTTTCTGTAAAACCTTTAAACATCAATCGCCTTACTTATCATTATGGGAATGATTTTTAGAGTATCCATCAGGTATAGGCTGCTCAATTCCTATCATAAGGAGCTGCGGCCACGTGTTGCGTATGCCTGAACACTGATTACCACGACATGCAATACTAACCAGTGTTAGGGGTAATTGGAAGGAAATTAGGGGCGGCCAAACCAAAACGTGGCATCAGTGCTTGTGAAGTCACTAACATCTGGTCTGAGTCATGTTGGTAGATGCAGACTGCCTGGTTGGGTTCCACGTGACTATCGTAACCAATGGTTGGAGACTCTTGGTGACATGGCTCAGAATCGATCACAATGGCGTCGGTGTATACACTCTCTGTCTTCCTTTAAACTAAGAGATTAAAATCGCTTCATATCTTTCTTTAAACTAAATCTTTCTTCCTGTACTATATCCTCATATGCAATGTTTCTTTTATATAGTACTACCACTGAATTAACTACTTCTATAAATCCGGTGTTCGTCTTGATGTGCTAATGTGGTGTGGCAACTTGGACCGATGCATATATGTGCCTGGTCCTACGTTGTAGCTGACTGACTGACTGCGGCCTAACAGTCAATGTACAACTTTTAGCTAGTAGATCACGTGTTCGAATCCCACCTCATCTAATTTAAATATTTTGTAGTTCAACAGGTACTGATTTGCGTATTGGACTTTGAATCATACCTTAAGGGCTAGTAATACTACGTGGATACTGAGACCAAAGCAGCTAAGGCGGGTTTTGAACCTGCGATTCACTGTCTGAAAGTTGAACGCCTTAGTCATTGGGTCACCACCCCACCTTTGGTCTAGGCAGTCGAGTATTATAACCAGTGTAACCTAAAACGCCGGGTCCATAGACCGTTACTTGGTGATTATGTCATATCATCATCCTTGCGAAATATCTGGAAATTCGATAGATAAGTCAATGAGTAATTAAATACTAGTCCGTTTTATGTCATTTTTACCGTTTATATCTAAACCAATTTAAAAAATTGATAGTAATCTGATAATATTATCTTAATTGAAAGAGCCAGGCTGATAATGTTAACTCATTACTGGCTTATAACGATGATTACCTTAAATATAAAAATAATCTCTTTTTTTCTGTCTGTGCTATCCATCTACAATTCCAGGTAACATCGATCATGAGTGTTCATCCAAGAAATAGTCATAAGCTTACACGTTTGTATTCTTGATATTAACTGTAGTGTGAGCAATACAAAGAAGGCTGAAAAAAAGTTTAGATGTAAACAATATGTGAATTGTTTTAGTCAGAATTTTGATTGGGATCAATAATAAACCATCATTGAAAACCTGAAAGCACTGGACGGCCGTTTTGCCATGGTATGGGGGTCTCCTCAGCAGTATGCATCCACGGTCCTGCGTGCGAGATTCGAACCCAGGAGCGTTGTTCTCAGGCAAACACTTAACCTTTGAACCACTGAACCGGCATCCAACGGTGTTAATGTCTAACTTTTATCGAACCATGAATAGCTGCGCTACTATTCATTCATTGTCTGAGGTAGATACCCGACACGAATTAAACTCTACTAGTCACGGCTTCTCACTAGAACTCCAGAAAATCTATCTTAAAGCCAGTCACTAGTGAGCACATAATGATTGTCATCAGAATGGGGGTTTGTGAAGATTGTAGTAATTTTAGTCAAAATGACCTAAAATGATATGTATATACAAGTGGATACATGAACTGCCGTAGATGAAATTCATTCAGGATGTTGTGGCTGTTATGACCTTGATTCGTCTACCCACTTTTTGGTGCCGAGGATACTTGTCTAATCTAGATTTCGACCTTGATGCGATAGGCTGATCGGCTTAACCTTTAGACTAGTACGCGTGAGTTCGAGATGGGGTAGAGAGAAGAAAACTATTCTGTCACCTGATTGGTGGGCAAGCACACGAATGAGAGAAGACAAGACAACTGGAACACTACTCGATCTATTTCCCTGACCACTGAACTCACTGGATTCACTGACTTCAGATTAGCGTAAAAAGGTACATGAATAAATAAGTGAATAACCCGACCGCAACGTACAATAATTAGGAAAAATACAATTATGTCCAAAGCTGGGAATTAGAGTAGAAAATAGGGTGCAAAATAATATGTTTAAATTACAATAGCTTCGGAACAGAAAAAGGTATAGCAGTGAATGATACATCGAACGAAAGCTTATGTTCTGTAGAATAGATTAGGGACAAAAATAAATGTCAGTGTTTTACAAGCTTTGAATAAAATGAAATAAAGTCCCGAAAAATAGCCTTCGTAGTTTGTCAGGGCTTCTTGTTTCCCGGTTCACATCAGTGGCCAATATACATTGATAATAACCACCGTTTTATTTCCCTGCTAGTAATTCATGAAGACAATAATACTTTTGCATTTTGATCACTAATGTGGCGAAATTCATAAATGTTCAGATCTGGTTATTTAATTTCTTAATTCGACTTTAATGTAAACTTTGAGATAGGAAAACTTACCTCGTAGTATAATAGTTCGGTATCTTCACTCATGATTACTATTTATTACCTGAGGTCTGTCATATTTCCTAGACATTCAAAAGAAAACAAATGATTATATTAAGCACCTTCATAATCTTCAACATAATCATTTAATTCTCAAGGTTGTAAAGCATTATTAATGTATGCTATCCCGTAGAGCAGCCGATGACCAGTTATTCCCTTGAGGCCCCCAAATGCGTTGGTAAGGCCGAGAGTGGGGAGAGTCCGCTCTCCCTCTGGAAATGCTCTCACATGGCCACACGTATGCAGCCTATGCCAGGGAAGTCCTACTCACTGCCTTCACGTGGCGGGGGTGTTGTTTACGAAAATCGAATGTCCGGCGCTATAACCGGATCCCAAATCAATGGTGCACATGGGCTGGCGGCAGTATCCTGAAAAACAAATGGCGTATGAACCAATCGTTGGTCACCGGCTACCATGGGACTGCATCTCCTTACAATGCTCCACTGCCTTGTGGGTCAGATATTCAAGTCGAAGGCTCAGGGTGTGGTCCCCTAAGACAACTACCTGCTTCACTTTGAGCACCCGGGCAATATCACAGCTCTCACACGTATCCAATGAGATCTGTGTATCGCATATGTATTTGGTGTCTCCTTGTACCAATACCTATGTGTTAAAATAAAAAATAATAATTGGATTGCGACCAGGGTTTCCAAACTGTACATATCCACCAACTCGGTTTGAACGTCAAAAGTCTCCCCACCTTGCACCATTTTTGTTAAATTGTCACGTGAGAGTAGTTAAATTTCTCTGGAACTGGTTATATGTATGTCTAGATGAAATTATTTCGGTAGAAGAGATCAGATTCTATATACTCTTTCGGCAGTACCAAATCATTTGGAGACCTTTTCTTAACAAATATCTATTATGATTTATTGTTAATTACATTTATTTCAATGATTAAGATCATGAGTCAGTTGAAGCTAGACCACCATGGATGCGCACTGCCAAGGAGGAGTCCCATAAAAAGACGAAACGGCCGTCCAGTGTTTTCAGGTTTTCCATGGTGATGGTCTAGCTTCAACTGACTCATGATCTTAATCATTGAAATTACTACAATCTCCACAAAACCCTTTCTGACAATTACATTTATGTTAATCCTTTTTTTTTTCTTAGGATGGAAGACAAATTCGTAACAAACGACGTCGTACAAACTAAGTAAAATGGAACAGATTGAACACCACTTACTACTTCATTACTTCAATACTGTATATTCATTAAAACTAAACTTTCCTTTTAAATATTTCTTTACACATAAATAAGAGAAGTTATGTAAACAGTGATTATTTGTCATGGGAAATATATGTATTTGGTTTGAAAGAAAAATGTCTTTTTTCTTCATGTTTACCATTGTTAAAAGAATATTCATTATGAAAGTTTGTCACACTTTTTGCTTTCTACTATAATTCGAAAGTAGCATTAAATTGCATAATTGATTGGTACAAGAGAAGGCTAGTGATACTATTGTTTGCCCTGACCGTTGTTGCTATCTTGACGTGGTGGTCGGGCGGGCGGGCTTGCCTATCGTGATGAAGCAACTGAGCTATACTGGTTGGAACAATCGTTCCTCAAAGTCCTACCATGCCAGACAGGTCGGTTGAAGAGCGGTAAGACTAAAAGCAACAAAACCAAGTTCCGAAGGCGAAGTTGTACTGCTGATTGTACAGAGGTGTGACAGCATTAAGGTGTTTCCTTCAGACAACCAGCATAACAGCGATGCTGCCTTCACAAAAGGAGGGGAGGGGTTAGAAAATTGTCGACCCTAAAAATGCACACCTCACCTTATCCCACGGATATCCGTTTCCGGCGATAAGGTCTCAACAAGTACGGAGCTAACACAAAAATTACTCATAAAAAGGTGGTGTGTGACCGACGTCAAGCAGCTGTCCCTTTGGCACTGTGGTCACATTCTCAGGTCACTGTGACCACCTCTAATCCAATATCCTTTTCAGGTATCTCCAGCAGAACCCTTCCACGGTGTGAGCAACCAGGAAGTAATAACCGCCCTCATACCTCTAACAGCACTCAAGACCACTGACTGACCAGTGTTAGGTAGGTATGACCCCCTAAGAAAACCACCTGGTTCGGTTTGGGCACCCGGGCAGTATCACAGCCCTCACCATCATATCCAATGAGATCTGTGTGGCGCATATGTATTCGGTGCCTCCTTGTACCAATATTTATGTGTTAAAATAAATAAATAGTTAAGTAGGTAAGGTTGAACTCAAACATAAGATCTAATAGTTTGAGTTCGAGTGCACTTGGTCTCAATAAACGTTACATTTACAACTTGTAGTTATGGATATTACAACATTGATATTTGGAATATGATTGATGGATATTCATATTCAGTTATGCTTAACTATACATTCAAAAAAATGTGAGTCAATGTTGAGTTGTATTGCTGTAATGTTTTCACTTTGAAACTAGTTTTTGTTGTTGATCAAAGTTTATCAACTAGTGGAATGGGAATTTCGATGATCAGAAGACGTTAAGTATAGTAAGTGAAGTTAGTTAGTCCTCTATCGTCTTTTTTTGCCAGAGTGTAGATCTTTAGACTTCTGTACCTTAAATCAAGCCATTCGTATGATTGACTGTACAGCAGTTGATAAACTTGTTTTTTTTTTTTTTTGTTTTACAGATGGTTCGTCGATCTTCATATGTAAATCGTGATTGTAAAAATAATAAATCCAGTCCAAATGAAATAAATCCTGTATGTGAATCTCGCAGAACTCGTGTGAAATCACTGAGACGAAAATCAACTGGTTCAAATAGACCATACTACAATCCATGTGAACGTCGTCGTCGTTTACAGACAATGATCCGTGAGGTTTACAATCGTATTCGATGTGCTAATTTAACATCTAAATGGAATCATGTATTTGAATTAATGTCAAAGAATCGACGTTTGTTAAACGAACAACTAAATTCTGCTTATACTGCTAATCTTGCAGCTCGATCTATCACTTGTGATGAAATATGGTCTAATTCCAATTCTACTGAACCACCTTTATTAGCTGAACCGGTAGAAATTCCAAATGTCTATAGTCAATTTGGTAAATTTGAAGCACGAATTGGTGGTATATCTTATCGTGTTTCTATTACAATGATGCCTCAAGTAAGTAAATTCTCTTCACAGTTTTTCATCTTAGTATACGCCCTTTTACACTTTTATATAATACCACAAAAGCCGAGTTTAGATCAATCTTGTGCCCTGTTTCAATTATATGTTTAGCAAGAGAGGATGATGGATGTTTATCCTCTGCTCTTATTGGGTCACTTGATTGTATTTGTTTTTGCAGCCATTTGGGTACATATTCACTCACCCTAATGTTAAGATTACGATTGCTCCTCCCTATGTATGTGTGACCACACACACACATTTAAATTGGTAAACACAGTGGGATGTGACACAATCGTTTTCATGTCTTTGAGGTTTTGAATGAAACATGCACCTTGTTCTTTCTTTGACAATGACCTTTGCTGCGCAGTACGTTTTGCTGATGACTGATTTAAGTCTTTGTTTCAATAAGAGACTATTTGAATCACCTCTGAATGGTAAGGGCCCCCAAATGCCCTGGTACGGCCGAGAGGGGAGAGTCCGCTCTCCCTCTCGAAATGCTCTCACATGGCCATGCGTATATAGCCTCTGCCAGGGAAGTCATACTCACTGCCTTCTCGTGGCGGGGGTGTTGTTTACAAAAATGAGAGGACGAAAAGCGAATGTCTGGCGCTTTAACCGGACCCTAAACCAAACCAATGGTGCACATGGGCTGGCTCCAGTATCCTGCCTGAAGGAACAAATGGCGTATGAACCAATCGTTGGTCACCGGCTACCGTGGGACTGCATCTCCTTACGATGCTCCACTGCCTTGTGGGTCAGACGTTCAGGTCAAAGGCTCGGGGTGTGGCCCCCTAAGAAAACCACCTGCTTCAGTTTGGGCACCCGAGCAGTATCACAGCCCTCACACAAATCAATTGAGATTTGTGTGGCGCATATGTATTTGGTGCCTCCCTGTACCTATACTTATGTGTTAAAATAAATAAAATAAATAAAGAATGGTAAGGTGATGTAGACAGGCTTTTTTTCTCCACCGAGGCTACAGTAGGTCTCACTGTACCGTGGACTTTCCATCTATTTATGAATTTCAGGGGGTAACCATTTTCTATTAATGTTTTATTTAACAACTTAACATCATCATCAATGGCGTCATTTGTACAAATGCGATCAAGCCTGTTGAAAAGACACTTTATCAAACCACGTTTGTATTGCACAGGGCAATAACTATAATAACTAAGGTATTGACCTGTCCACGTTGGTCTTCTAAAAATGGATCGCTTGATTGAGCCATCTTCTCGTCTACTCAGAAGTATATCTAGGAAAGGGAGCTGATCGTTTTTCTCCTCTTCACATGAGAGATTAATATGGTTTTGAAGAGTGTTGAATTTATTTAATAAACGGTACATCTCCTCTTTACTTTCACAAACAACTAGGATATCATCCATATATCTCTTATAAAGTGACATGTTTTCAATTATGTCATCAGCCTGATTTTCAACATTTGCCATTAACACGTCTGCTAATAATGGTCCTAGCGGACTATCCATAGCAACCCCATCAATCTGACGAAAGTATTCACCTTCAAAAGTGAACTGAACTTTGTCAGTACATAATAACAGTAAATGTTTAAGAAATTTTACAGATATGTAATCACATAATATATCAATAGTTTTTCTCAAAGGTTCCCCCAAATGCCCTGGTACGGCCGAGAGTGGGGAGAGTCCGCTCTCCCACTCGAAATGCTCTCACATGGTCATGCGTATATAGCCTCTGCCAGGGAAGTCCTACTCACTGCCTTCTCGTGGCGGGGGTGTTGTTTACAAAAATGAGAGGACGAAAAGCGAATGTCTGGCGCTTTAACCGGACCCTAAACCAAACCAACGGTGCACATGGGCTGGCTTCAGTATCCTGCCTGAGGGAACAAATGGCGTATGAACCAATCGTTGGTCACCGGCTACCATGGGACAGCATCTCCTTACGATGCTCCACTGCCTTGTGGGTCAGACGTTCAGGTCAAAAGCTCGGGGTGTGGCCCCCTAAGAAAACCATCTGCTTCGGTTTGGGCACCCGAGCAGTATCACAGCCCTCACACAAATCAATTGAGATTTGTGTGGCGCATATGTATTTGGTGCCTTCTTGTACCTATACTTATGTGTTAAAATAAATAAATAAATAAATAAATCTCAAAGGTACATTTGTAAACAAGGAATTCACATCAAATGAACACATTGTCTTTTCCTTGATATTAATATCACCTAAATGATCGACCAGTTCAAAAGAGTCCTTTAGAGAATAGTTACATAGATGTGTTCGGATAGGGTCCAATAACTTTGTTAACCATTTAGCCAGGTTATGTGTAGGTGATCTGTACATTGATAGAATTGGACATAAAGGTATGTTTGGTTTATGAATTTTAGGTAATCCATATAAATGTTTTATTTGTTGTTATTCTCTTTCGAATTTTTCTATTTTTCTAGGTTGATCCTGTACCATCTGTTTGTATGTGGGCTCCTGTTCAACATAATTTCTCTGTTGAAGATGAAACAGAATTAGCTAATTTACCATATATGGGTGATGATCAAGCACAAGAAGATGTAAATTTTTTAGAAGAATTATTAAATAATTATGATGGTCATTTACATGGTAATTTTCCATTTGAATTTGATGAATCGCTATTGGTACAATTAGTGAATACAGTTGCTAAATCATGGTCAGATATTACTAAACAATGTGGTTTAATACCATTTACAAATCAAAAAAATGAACAATTATCTATAGATTTACCAAAAAATTCAATTATAATTCATTCATCATTACAAGAAATGAATACATCATCCATATCATCATCATCATCCATGATGAATATTGTTGATGAAACTAGTTTAATTCATTCAAATTATAATATAAATGAACATGTCTTAAAAAGATTAAAACCAGATGAAGAAGATAATGATGAAATTTCAATTACAAAAAAATGTCGTTTTACTCGTCGTTCAGGATTTATTGAAATTAAAGATGTGGAAGTAAGTTGAATTGTTTACTTTCAAGATCAATAGCTTCTGTAAATTTTGTAGAAGATGTACTTATCTATATGTCA